CACGCTAAAGCGCCGGGCCACAGAAAGCCCCAAAGAGCCACACGAAGCCCCAACGGGCCACAGAAAGTACCAGTCGCCCTTTTAGCCGGGGCCTCCTCATTCAATAAATGCCAGGAATTGCGTGGGAGGGGTGGAAGCTTCGGGAGCCCCCCAGCCAAAGGAGGGTGGGGAGAGCTTGAAGCTGAGCCGCCCCTTTTTGCAAGGGGTGTTCCACAGGCGCGCTCTTCCATACTTACTCAGCGCGGCAGGCGCTGGCTGGTGGTGGTGTCCGTACGGTCACATGGACCCATGCTAACAGAAACCAGAAACCACGTCGTCAATCTTTCGTTGATCGATTGGCGAAGTGACAATGGATACCCTCATCCTCTGCGGGGGAGGGGGGCGGGGGGGGCGCCCCGCGCAAACCGACGATCCAAAAGGCGCGCGCTGGTCTCTACACGAGCAAGCTGGTGTGGAGCGAGGTGCGCTGGGGGGGGCCATGGGCTCGGGTGTTCTCGGCGGGGGGCCGCGAGGCAAACCGACACTGCACTCGTGGAACAAAACATGGCATAAACATACAATTTGGGAGCTCCGCGCGGACATCTTGGATCGGCGCTGGACCCATCTTCTTGGCGCGCGAAGCGCCTCAGGGACGGCGCCGGACGAGACGCAGCCGGGGGGCTCCAGCGCCGATCCAAGGAATCCGCGTGGACCTCCGAGAGCATGCGAGCCCAGAATCGGATCGACAAGTCGGATCGGCGATCGAAATGAATCGGATCGGCGGAAATCGCAGCCGAGTCGGGAAAAGTCGAATCGGCAGACATCCGCAGGCTAGAAAGCCTCTCTTGGGAAATCGGATCCCAAATCGAAATCCGAAATCGAATCAAATCGGAATCGGAATCCATCGAAATCGAATCGAATCGTACCGGGGGCATCAAAATCAGCCCTGGAAAGTCTTGCCATTGCTCGACCCTCGATGGGCCACCCTTCGTTGCATGGATCCTCCACTCGGCCACAGGGGGGGGGGTGGGCGGCACCGCGCCGGCGGTCGCCCCCGCCGGCTGCGGACACCCCATCGCCCCGCCGCCGCCCCGTCGCCGCCCCGATACCGCCAGCCCGTCGCACCGATATCGCCGCCGATGCCGCCGCCCCGTCGCCGCCCCCCGCCCGACATCACCACTCCCAGTGCTGCTCCTCGGCATCCAGAGGAAGAAAAAAAGCGTAAACAAAAAACACAAAATTGTGGCGCTCCGCACGGGTTTCTCGGATCTGCGCTGGAACGCGCCAGGGGCGGCGCCGGAGGCGCCGCCAGGGGGGCCAGGCGCAGATCCACGAAATCCGCGCGGAGCGCCAAAAGTTTCTGTGTGTGGCGTCTTTGCTTCTTCGAGTGCCGTCACTGCGGGCAGGCAGCTCGGCCCGCTCCGCAGGGGTCGGCTGCTCCTCTTGGTGGCCGTCGCTCCTGGCTGCCGCTTCTCGCCCTGCTTCTCCGTGCTGCCCCCTCGTTCCTGCGCCTCCTCCCGCCCCTTCTCAGACGACGAACATGGAGGCCGCCCAGCTGGGGTCCGAGTAGATGGGGTCGGAGGATCGCGCCGCATCGCCGACGTAACGACGACGTCGGCGAGGTATCGGCTACGTCGGCGCGGAGAAAATCGGGCTCCACGGCGATGCCGCGCGATCCTCTGAGCCCATCTACTCGGACCCCATCTGGGAGGCCTAAAGAAAAATAGCATAAACAGAGACTTTGGAGGGTCCGCGCGGATTTCTCGAATCGATGCTGGAGCCCCCTCCCTGGCGCGCGGAGCGCGCCTCCGGTGCCGCCAGGGGATACCAGTACCGATCCCAAGGAATCTGCGCGGAGCTCCGACAGTTTGTTTACGGTCATGAACCTGTGCTGAACGTGTCGCCGCGGCGGCCCGGGCGACACGCTATGCCCTGCGAGCGGATAGCGTGTTGCTCCGCTCCGCGGGGCGGGAGGCTGGGAAAGGCTCGGGACGTTAACGACGACTGGAACGTGGATGACGTGTCGCGCCGAAGCGTGGTGGGCCAGAACCGCGGCGTGACACGCTAAGCTAAAGCTGCCGATTGTGGTCCTGGTCCTCATCCCCCCATCTCTTCTCCGAGAAACCTCCAGGACCCGCCGAAAATCCAGGATCCCATGAAAACTCCAGGGGCCACCAGACGGTTCCAGGCGCGCCCCCAAACCTGCTTCTGTTGCATCTCCTCCTTCTCTGCCTCCTCCTCGTCCTGCTCTTCCTCCTCTTCCTCATCTTCTTCCTCCTCCTCCTCCGCCTGCCCCTACTGCCCCAACGACGCCTTCAGGAATCGCCAGAAACCCTCCAGGAGCTCTTGATGAAACTCCGGGGCGCCCCAACCGAGTCCAGAACCCCTTCCCGGAACCTTCTCATGCTGCGGGCGCTGCTCGTCCTCCTCCTCCTCCTCCTCCTCCTCCTCCTCCTCCTCCTCCTCCTCCTCCTCCTCCTCCTCCTCCTCCTCCTCCTCCCCCCCAAAAGCTCTCGACGTCCTCCGTGGGGGCAATCAGGATGACGTCCGATTGCGGCGCCGCCAGCTTGAAAGAGGCGACGTTGAGGATGCAGCCGTTCGTCAGTTGATCGACACTATGGCGGCCTGGAGAGGCCTGCGTCGGGAGAGCCTACCAACCTCCTCTCATCTCTCCTACCCCCTGCTCCTCCTCCGCATCCTCATCCTCCGCATCCTCCCCCTCCTTCTAATCCACCGCCTCCTCGTCCTCATTAACCCTCAACAAACTCCGACTCCTCATCATTCCTCCCCCACCCCTCTTCCTCCCCTCCTCCTCCTTCTCCTCCTCCTCCTCATCATCATCATTATCCTTCTCCTACCCCCTCTCTCCAGAGTAGGTGGTGAGGGGGGCGGAGAGGGAGACAGATAATGAGGGGGCGAAGGAGGCAGAGAAACAGGAGGGGAGGGGGGGAAAGGGGAGCGGGAGGAAGGACGAGAGGTTGGGAGAATGGAGAAGGGCAAGGGATGGAGGAGGGATGGAGGGCTGCAGCGACCCGCGGGAGGCGGCGGGGTGTGGACAACGCCCCCCCCCCAAGACCTTGGAGACGAAGCAGACAGTCAGCAGAGCGCTCCGAGGCAGCTTGTTCTCCGGCATCGCCAGCTCCTGCGGCGTGGCGCGTACCACGTGCTCGCGCCGGCCCAAGTCTCCACCGATGAGGGTGCAGGGCCACCGCGCTCCCTCGAGAAACACAGACAGGCATGGAAAGCGTGCACACACAGATCATACACAAATCTAAACATCTATGTGCGGATGTGTACAGGGCGGAGGGGCTAAGAGAGAGAGAGAGAGAGAGAGAAAAAAAAAAGAAATAAATAAAGAAAGAGATCGAGCGAGAGAGGTATTATACACAACCAAACAAACAAGCAAACGAACAAACACACACACACAGACACACACACACACACACGCACACGACAACAACAACTATACTATACCGACGTGCGTGAATGTGAAAGAAGGGTGGGGGAAAGAGGGAACCACATCTCACCACGTTGCTCTGCCTCTCTCCCTCCTCACGCCCCCCTTACATCCCTTCTCCTTCCCTTCCCCACACCCCCACTCCCTCCCGATACCGACCATCCTCCCCCTAATCGTCAACGCTCTTCTCCTCTTTCCTCGCCCCTACTCCACCCCCTCTTCCTCCTCATCATCATCCCGCTGCTGCTGCTGCTGCTAATCCTAATATTCCGCTCATCCTCGTACTCCCTATCCCCTGCACTCCACCTCCCTCCCCTGCCCCTAGAATTCAAGATCTGTGCCGCCCTCGCGCGGGGCGCAGGCGCCCTCGAAAGTCCCCAGCCCCTACAGGGATGCAGGGCGGCACCTGCTTCAGAGTGCGGCTGCCGCCTTGGCGCCACGCAGGAGGCCAGTGCGCCTTTGAGCAAGTCTGGCTCTGGGCCGAGACGTCCTCGCGCATCAGGACACCGTCTAGCACGAGCAGGTCATCAGCTACAGGGAGGGAGGGAGGGGTACGGACGACCACAACCACATACCAGACAGGGGGTGGGAGCATGACGGGATACGGGTATTCAGCTGCTGTCCGCTCCCCCCTTCTCCTCTTCGTTGTCCGCGTCGTCCTCCTCCTCCTCCACTTCCTCCTCCTCCCTCCACCTTTCTCCCTACTGCAGCTCCTCCTCCTCCTCCTCCTTCTCCTCCTCCTCCTTCGTCTCCTCTTCCGTCCCCTTCCTCCGCCTCCTCCTCGAGGGCTCCTCTGCGCCTCCTCCTCGAGGGCTCCTGACGACCACGAAGGGATATCATCTTGGGGGCTTCAGCGGCTCTCTCCTCTCATCGTTTTCCCCGGTGGGGTGGTCTGCGGCCTCAGGCGGGCCTGGGAAACTTTAGAATTTGTTTGAAACAATTTTTTGTTTAAAAAGAATAAATTTCTCAGCGTATAAAATTTCTAAAACTTTTTAAAATTTTCCAGAAAAAAATTGAAATTCTGGAGGTCCCGGAGATTTCGGCGATCCTGGTGGGGAGGTCTGCGGCCTCAGGCGGGCCTGGGAAACTTTAGAATGTTTAGAACTTCTAGATTTTTAAACAATTTCTCTGTGGATTAACTATTCTTAAAGTTTTTGAAATTTTTGAAAATTTTGAAAGGCTGGAGGTCCCGGAGTTTTCGGCGATCCTGGTGGGGTGGTCTGCGGCCTCAGGCGGGCCTGGGAGACTTTAGAATTTAAAAAATGCTTAGGATTTTTAAAATTTTCTCCGTGTATTAAATTTTCATGTTTTGAATTGTTTTTTGAAATTCTGGAGGTCATATTGTTGTTGGTGATGCATATGGTGGTGTTGCTAATGATGGCGATAGTACTTGTGATGGTGATGATGCTACTGTCAATGGTTATCTCGATGCTGATTGTGATGATGGTGATTGTGATGATGTTGGTGGTGATGATGGCGATGCCGATGGTTATTGATGTCGATGGTTATGGCGATGGTCGCGATGCTGATGTTAATGACGTTGGTGACGGTAATGATGCCGACAACGATGATGATGACAATGATGATGGTGATGGTGTTGCTGATGATGCTGCTGCTGATGATGGTGATGAGGACGATGACTGGTCACAGTAAGACGGGTGAGCATCCTACGGAAACGTCGTTGTTTCATGCATCTTGGGCACCTTCTGGGTAACTCATGGGAGCATGTTTGAACGGATCCCTGAACATCTCCCGAAATCCAAACGCAAGTTTCCTGAGCAGCGTTCCGCAATGCCGTCAGGGACCCTCGGAAACTTATCTGAAGCCTTTCGATTTCCTGTGGATTGGTCTGGAGCCTTCTGGGCCCTCCCAGAGGGGGTTTTAGGAGGACCGGTCCCCCTAAAATGGGAAGGGGTTTTAGGGGGTCCCCCTAAAACGGGATTTGATTTTAGGGGGACCGGTCTCCCTAAAACGGGATTTGATTTTAGGGGGACCGGTCTCCCTAAAATGGGAGGGGGTTTTAGGGGGACCAGTCCCCCTAAAACTGGATTTGATTTTAGGGAAACCGGTCTCCCTAAAATGGGAGCGGGTCTTAGGGGGACCGGTCCCCCCCTAAAACGGGATTTGATTTTAGGGGGACCGGTTTTCCCAAAATGGGAGGTTAAATTAAGATGGGATTTTAGGGAGGCCGCCCGAAAGTGGGAAGGGGTTTCCCTTCCGCCATCTGCTATCCAATGATGTTGGTGATGGGGTGATGGCAACGGTAACGACGAGGATGGCGATAGCGACGACGACCAAGACGACGATGGTGATGCCGACGACGATTAGGATACTGCTCGTGGCGGCAACGATGACGATGACGACAACGAGAGTCATGATGACGATGATGATGATGATGACGGTGGTGGCGACAACGGCGATGACGATGGTTGCCAGCGTGGCCCCGCAAGCAGTTCTTTGCAGCGCACTCCCTGTGGAACAGTGTGGATGTGAGTTCTCTAGTTGCTGCTCGTGTAACTGCTGCTGCTGCTGCTGCTGTTGCTGCTGCTGCTCCTCATCCTCCTTTCATCCTCCTCCTCCTGCTCCTCCTCCACCTCCCCCTCCCTTCGACCTCTCAAGGCCCTCGCAATGCCATGTGAGCGTCGAGAAACTATTCTGGATGAGGGTTTCAGACCTCCTGGGGCTTAGGCCGTGAGTTCCTCATGACGGTGATTTTTATTAGGGAGGTGTCTCCAGGAATTTCAGAGAACACTCCAACATCGTCGAGGCATCGCCGTCTCGCATCGAGTTCTGCAGGCTGCTTTCCAATTTCGTGGCAGTGTATCCAGACCGCCTGGACACGAAGTGTGACAAGGTCACGTTCCGTGAGCAGTTGGTGGCGGCGTGTCGACCGAATAGAGCAGAATGGTTTTTCAACCATGTCAGGTACCGTTCTCGATGAACGGCGGACGCTAACGCCTTGCTTGGCACTGGCACGACCAGGAACGAGCAGGTGCACGCCACCCTGAACTCTGATTTCAGGCAGACTCTTCGGGTAAGCCACCAGATGCTTGCAGCCGAGCTTCGGACCTGGGGCGCCATGGAGCTGGCGCTCGCGCACCGGGCCCTGGCGGGTCGCACGACCGTCCGGGTGAAGCATGCAAGCATGCGGCCGTTTGTCGTCGCCTCGACCCAGCTGTTCACTCAGGCCAGTTGGACGGCGCACTTGAATAGCGCGCAGGCCCAATTCGAGAGTTTTGTCCCTGAGGCGACGACGCGGCGAATGCCGCGCCGTGGTCCTACAGAGCGCCAGGAAGAAGTATTCCGGCGCATTTGGGACGCAACGCGCCCGGGGGGGCGCGCTGCCATCTTCGACCTCTCAACCAAGAAGAGGCGCACGTGATTGTAATTCTGGCAGCGGCGGGGTGAGCTGCAAAAGTTGATGCCCGCGCTCTTTCCTCCCGCGCAGCCTCCAGGAGAAGGGGGCCCCGCTGCGCTCGCAGTAGGCGGCCCCAGTTTCCCTCGGAAGATTCGCAATTCGGCCTTATAGGGCCCCTTGAGGCCCCAGGAGGCCCAAGGATGCCCAATCATGCTTCAAGAACCCACATGCAAGTCCAATCGTTCACGGTCGTGTGTAGAGCGTTTATCGGTCATACATCGTACAGGTGGCAATTATTATGAATATGCACATATACACGTGTATGTATATAGAGTACAATCCATGCAATACACATGGCATATCACTCTTCTATTATAGTATTTATGTTTTACATAATACAGAATGATTGATTGGCGTATGCTGCATAGTATAGGATGGGTACATTCCATATAATTTTGATACATAGACATCGTCGTATATACATACTGGAGTGTAACCATGTAGACATGACCGACATTTACAATCATATGCATACGAATATGTTCAAAGTATACGTACATATACATAATATAAGTATACCCTAGTATATCTATCATTTGTATTACTGTCACATGATAGAATATATACAAAAGAAAATTATTATAGCTATAATTGTATATCACAATATATATATATATCCATGCATATAATATGCATATATCAGTATGTATATATACTAATATATATATATATACATATATATATCACTATACGTGTGTCTGTACGTGTGTACATATTGCACACGTGCATGTGTATTGTTATAACGTGACGATGACGATGCGTCGGTGTGTCAAAGATGTGCAGTTGTTATTGGACATGCTACAGTGTAGGCGGCATACGACGTGCTATACATATACGTGTGGGTGTTACGAACGCACATACATCTCTCATCCACACAGGGGCCCCCATGGAGGCCGCAGGAGCCAACAATATGCTCCAGTAGGTCCAGGCACCACAAGGTCCTAGCAAACATATGGGGAATCACCACGGATCCTGGGAAACCCAAGGGAACCCCGGGAGGCCATTGAACGTTCCAAGAGGAAGTGCGGGGAGGCCCCAGTGAACCTGAGGAAACCTTAGGAGGCCTCAGGATATGCCAGAAGAGCACAGGAGACCCCAGCTTTTCAGGACCCCCAGGAGGCCCCAGGAACCCCCTGGAATATTCAAAACGCTCAGGAGGCCCCAGGCGGCGGCAAGGCATCCCACGGGAAACCTGCGGAGATTCCAGGAGGCCGTGTCTGACATGTGGTTCTGGCGGTGACCACGCCCAGTGGTGGCCCAGAAGCCC